CAGTGTTCGATTATAGCGTAAATGGCAATGAATTTGGGAAGTGAATTATTAGTATCCACAGGAAAACCACACATTCGAACTGATATTTGTATTACGGTCACCACATCCTATTTAACTAGGACTGAGGAACATTTTATGTAACACGTCACAAACATGTTTCGTACTGGGTAAATTCTAATACAGAATGCAAGGCATGCACGAGAAGCTTTGAAACTTAAGAATTACAATAATAGCTTTATGAGGAATTATATAGTTTGATGTTTATATAAAATCAATCAGAACAATAGTGATTATGATGATGATGACAATATTAATGACGACATATATGTCTAAGATGTGCGGGGTAATGACAACACCAATATTAACGAATCTAATTTATCAGCTATACTTTATTTCGAAGAATGAATTTTGGAAACCTTACGCAGAATTCTTCACAGCTGGAGAATAAAATATCCCGCATTGAAACACACAAACTCAATTTAAAAAAAAAGTTGTTTGTTGGTTAAACGATCCTTTCGAGCTAATGGTGGACTTTTAGAATATATATGTAGCAATATGTATATATAATAATTTCTGATTAAGTATTTATTACAATAATCAATAATCACAATTATTAATTAAACAATTAATTAATAATTCACTTATATATAATAATTTTTAGTCCAAATCTTATATAACCAATAATTATATGTGCTTACGTGTTGTGATTCCTGGATAATTTTATAGATTGTTTTTACTTTCATGAACTGAGTAATTTTCGATCTGTTTCAATTATTATTTTTCTTTCTTTTCACAAATATTTTTTATGTCCTGTTTTTGGTTTTTTAGGGATTTTGTTTGATTCGATTTTGGATTTCTCCGTTATCTGAGATCAATTGTTGACTCACTGGTAATCCTGGGAATTATTGATAGCAATTTGATAGTTTTTTGATATAGGTGTCCGCCGTTTTATCTGACGTTTCTAGGCGGGTGCGTTGTCTGAACTGTCTCAACCTCGGACGAAACAGCCCTCGAGTACTCATAGGATACTCATAGTACTGCGTCGGTTGCACAGTTGTTAGGACTCTCGCCGACCATGCATATGGTGCGAGTTTCGGTACCTTGCCGACGCGCAGCTGATATCAATGGTGGGCTAGGAAGTTTCGGGCTACCGATATCCATGCTGAAAATTCCATACTTGTAACGAAAATACAGTGTGGAATCAAGCTGTAATCAAATATAAAAGAAAATAATTCCCGGTTGTTCTTTAACTGTTTTCAAATCATATTTGGTATTTGTTCTTCTGTTTTCTTCGCGTTGATGCTCTTTTAATAAGAGTATTTTTTCGCTAGTTTCCTCGTAACTGTCACGAAGCCAGAGACTGTTGTATGCATATGACAGTTGTTTTAGGCTCCGATGGTCATTAAGGTGTAGGAATTCGGGTGAGATAAGACAGATTTGTGGATTATGTCAGAGATCGTCGTTTAAAACTGCACTCTCTAAATGAGCAATAGTGAGCAACGCACCTGATAGCGATGTTTTAGACAGTTTTACTTCATGACCTCACACCAAGCAAACAATAGGCTTTTCAAAAATTAGTAACACATCTGAATCATTGATATAAAAATAAAACCTAAGCACCGTGATATAGAATAATTCCAATATGGGTAAAATTTGTTTTTGATAAAGTTTCACAGTGTTATACGGATATGTTTAATGATGACGTTATGGTCATAATTTATTGCTCATAGTCATATCAAAGTACCCATACAACTGTCTAATTTCATTTATATAATTCCACTACTTTTCATGGCTTTATTTGATTGGTAGTAGTAGTCGTTTCCATATTTCCGGTATGAATGACGAGTCATTCGTATTGAACGTGTTGGGTGTCGACTCAAAGAACCAGTTATCAACCTCTCTTTCCATCTACCTAGATTACTTTTTAAAATTTCAACCCTCTCCCAACCTTTTAAGTGAATGTGTGTTGATGCATGCAGTGCGATCGCTTGGCTTTTTTCTAAATTAATTATCTTCCCGGGATCAACCATTCTTTAGCTAAGGCTAGAAATGGAGAATACTACTACCAATCAAATCAAGCGATAAAAAATAATGGAAGTATACAAATGAAGTAAGGAAGATGTTCAATACTTTGGTATGATTATAAACAATAAATTGTGCTCGAAACGTCATCAGTAAACATTACTGTATAACATTGTGAGACATTATCAAAAACAAACATTACCTATAATGGAATCACACCTAAATCAGAGGTCTGACTGACAAAATATCGGATATATCATGCTTTTTTTAGTTCCTCAAAAATTATAATATCTTATTGACGCTTAACATAGTATGTTCTATATTTTCGATATCCTCATACAGAGATTTGCTGCAAATCGTTCTTTGTTCTTTTGAAGTACTACCTAAATCTGTGCGTTCCATGACGTTTGCTTCCGTCTCCCTTATTGTTTATCACTCTAATTGACCGCTGATGGTTTCTTTGATACTTTTTATACTATTTTTTGAGACGCTGCAATTATTGATAATTTGGTAATTCAATTTCGCAATATATTTCATCTCCAAAAAATGCATCAGGTAGAGTGTCAGCGTAATTTTGATCCACATGTCATACATTTTTAGTTGCTGTTCATTTAGACGCTAAGAATTGGAGAGCACGAGTGGAATTACGGCTGAATTTCAATTAATGTCTGTTTTCTGATTCTGATTAATCAAAGATCCAAAATATATTCACATAGTTGTACCATATCGTTGCAGATTTGATTAAGTCCGTTTGCTGTTAGCATTCCACTTTTAGAGATTAATTAATACTGCAGTTCTCATGTAATTGTGGTATGAAAACTAATGATTCCCGATGTGTCCGTAAGTAATTTATTGTATAAATATTATCAGAATATGGAATCACTAGCTATATAGAAATGGCGAAGTAATTAATGCATCGCTTCAGTTGGTTTTCTGCTGTAAACAAGGTAAGTTTAATTTCATTTGTTTTAGCATTTTTAAATTTGCTAATCTGAATTCATGAAAATCATTTGCTCATCAGATTAAACATTTGAAGTTGATGAGAAAGAATTTCGATCAATAATCCATTATATCCTGAAGCAGTTGATGGTAATTTTTGAATGCACTTGAGCATATTTACTCTCTTTTTATGCAATTGACCCTTTTGATTTTGTGAATAGAAATTACACATGCATAGCTTATTGTTATCAGATTAAGAGAATTGTACATCACATCTACTGCCGTTTTTTTCTTCTGAAACTGAGTGGATTTTTACAAAGATAATGCATTTGTTTTGTGCGGTTACTGTCGACATTTGATATCTAACCAAGTGTATTCAATTTGGTCTACTTGAGTGTTTCATCTCCTTCTTCACATGTTATCGGAACCGATAATATACATTCGGTTATCTTCTCTGACCGGAGATATATATATATATATATACCAAATTGTTCTTATAAAATGTTTATGCTTCAGGTTATAAACATTTATGAAATGCGATATCAGAATAATTTATCAGTCGAAATAAATGAATGAATCTCCATTTGCAAATCAAATACATCGGTTGACACGCTTTTGTGATTCTACTGAGGTTAGTATCAACAATTAACTATTATTTCGACAATTCGACATCACAGTTAACTTCGTCTTGAAAGAACTTACTTTTGTTGGCAAATAATCGAGCGTCCCTGAGAAATACAACGTCAAATACATTTATTTTATGAAATCTTTTGAAAAGAAAACTTCTTAAATCAATTTATTAAATTGAACAATAGTTAGCATTGATTTTCATATAACTTTGTTTCCTACCATAAGAATAAAAGTGACATATCATAAAAATCTGGCGAAACTGTATATCAATCAAACAAATCAGCCCTTTAGGATGAGGCAGATTTCATTAGTATTTCGTCAGTTCCATATTAATTTGATAGTGTAAAATATTCCCATATTATGAATTAAAGGCAATCTGAACGAAGAAAATTCTTTTCAATAATTTTTCCTCAGCTTATTCGAATTATAAAATGTAATATTTGTTGTTGTTACAATGAAGGCCAGTTATGCGTCGGATACATTTTTAACGTAGAATAACAGATGAGTTATAGGGTGTGAAAATAAATAGTCGTATTTGTGTGAGAAACGTGCTAGGCTGAAATCGATTACAAAATATTGTATAACGGGAGACATTGGTGGTGATTAGTCATAATAGATTTGTAGAGTGTGGGGTAGAAAAACTGGCAATTCAGTTTAAGTTTATAAAAGGTTTCAGGTGAGTGAGTGGCTAGTACAAAAAGGCATGTATGAAAGAGGAGGTGATAGTGAGATAGAAATGAAGGGTTCATAATAAAATAATGAATATGTGAAATGAAACAGGTGGAGGTATATATTGAGAAAAGAGATTATGTCAGATTATGAAGAAGACTAAAGTGGAAATTTGTCTTCCAAAACAACACGTTCAGAAACTGTTCCTAACATGGCCGCACTTAGATTGATGATTATTCTTCTGTCCAGTATTCCCAGGTTTCCCAGTGGTTCTCTAACTGATGTCAGCTCATGATGAAATCCTCCATAGAGTCAAAAAAGCCCTACAAAACCAAAACTTGAAAATAATCTCGTCTAGCATCATATTTTTATTAGTACTATGGATTCGTGAAATAATGTTCTCAGAAGTGAGACACTTTGGTTGAGACTATGAATTTTGGTGTTTAATGGTGTTATTTCCCAACTTTCTGTTCAACACCTGATGATTGGGATGTGACACATTATTATCTGAGCTGCACTTTACTCAGCGACGCTTATTTAACTACGAACTCCATATCCTATTAAAAGAGAGTGGAGTGTGAGATAAGTTATGAGCTCACAGAGGTGAACTTAGTTCAACCATTACATAAAAAGTGCATACATTGGAAATAAAAGAAGACTGTAGATGACTCAGAGTTTAAAGTGAACTCATAACCCAGCGGTGAATGAAACCGTATTATTAACATTGTGAAGTAAATGTTTCAATGATAAAAATATATAAAAAAAACATACGCTGATCCGCATTTCGCTTCGCATTCCTCGTAACTCTTGAAGTTATTTTCATTCGTGCCACATTCGAGCCATGCGAAGTTTTCACATCTTTTCGACTCTGGATCATAATAGAAGTTGTACGTATGTTCAAAACAAAAACCTCGGCTGTGAGGTTTTTGGCAGTTGCCTGAAATTATGCAAGCATTTATCAAACATCGATAGTCGTGTAACTGTGATATAATAATAGATTTATTCAAAACAGTGTTTAAAATGTGCCATTTTTTATTACAGCTTGATACCACACAGTATTTTTGGTACAAGTATGGAATTTTTAGCATGGATAGCGGTAGCCTAAATTTTGCAGGCCGACCATTGATATCAGGTTTGCGTCGGTAGGGGATCGAACCTCGGACCATATGCATGGTCGGCGAGAGTCCTAACCACTGTGCCACCGAAACAAACATTATTCCTACTGTTAATCAATAAGAAATGAACATATACAATTATATAAAGTGGAAATACTCACGCCATTGTAAGAATGACAACAAAATCAAGTGCCACATACTGAGAGTTCTTCAGTGTGTTTCAATTTCCTGTCACACACTTTTCTCATCAGTAAATATGTGCCGAATAAATCATTTCGGAATTCTTCTACCTAGTCGTCCGAACACACTGTCTCCTATTGTTTCTTCTACTCGATGAGATGAAAAGGGATAGTTGTGTATAGAGAAGATGTTCAGAGTCTGGCAGGATACTATGTGATAACTTCTTCCAGGAGTACGTGCGTCTATCGACAACAGTATCAACGAGTGGGTTAAGCAACACCCCATATTGCAGTGATGGCTTTCGATGCCTTTCATATTATAACACAGTATTTCTTAGGTAAATTAGATGATGAACAATTAAAAATTTCTCACCTAGGAAGGAAAATTTAAGTGGGACAAATTTCGTTTCATATACCTAGTACAGAACAACAGCGAGTCAATCAGCAGAATAGGCGATCTTGCTAAATATATTCACCACAACCATTCTGTTCATGCAAATTACCTGATTATTCAGCTATATGTGGATGAAAATGAAGTGGTGAGATGCACTTCTCTAACGTAACAAATTAATAGCTGATCTAAATGCATTGCTTCAAACATACATACAATGTTTGAATAAAGACATCAGAATACACATCACTGATTGAAAATGGAAAACAAAGTTGAAATTCAGTCAATAGTCCAAAATGGTCTCTTGTGGTGTAATAGAATGTGCTAAAGTATTCATTGAAAATTAAGTTTAACTACTCCTAAAGAAGTTTGCGGTGTGCGAAAAATGCGCCTAGTAGACACGGAGATTCAAACGTAACATCTTTATATTCATACGAAATACTTATTTCCAATCTCACTTTATTCAAAAGAACCACGTTGACCACAGACTAATTATTTGTAGTTACTAGAAAATGCATATTCAGTCATATAAAAGAAAAGAAGGCGTTCAGCGAAGAGACTCTTCTCGGCGAATTCATTCACTGAGCTGTACAATGCGACAACATCAAATCTGACCTCCTTAAGAGCCACTGGGCTCTCTGCTTGCGGATTTCTTTATGTCGAAACTCGAAAACACTTGCCTAAAGAATATAATTGACAACTTTGAACTCTACAAGAGATACATCGACAACACCTTCATCATCTGCAACAACGAAGAGAATTTAGAAGATATCCTGAAGTTCTTCAACAACTGCCACCCTGAGATTCAGTTAACACCAGAGAAAGGGTCTAACCCAAAGATATAATTTGTTGACGTTCAACTAACGAGACACCAACAAGACGGAACATTAAAAAGATCCATCTACAGAAAGCCAACGTGGATTGGACAGCTCACTAATTTCCACAGTTGGGTGCCTCTATATACTAAACGAAACTTAATCCGTTCACTAAGCCACAGAATACGTTGAATTTGCAGCCTGGACATCATAGAAAATGAAATGAACACTCTTAAGAAAATCCTTCTTGAAAATGGCTATCCAGAAGATGTATCACAAAATCAATGAAACCCAGACCAGAGAAGCCACCGAAACCCAGTGCTCCAAAAGGACTTCTCTATATGAACCCTGCAGTTCAATGGAGACCAATCTACAGAAATACTGAGAAATTGGTTCTCCCGCTCATTGTAAAATAAACCTTCTTTGCAGCTGAATTACGACTGACGTTCTCCACGAGACCAATGATTCGTATGAACGTGAAGAATAAGCTACCGCTGTTGGCCTAATCTATGTGTATCTACCAATTCACCTGCTCGTGTGGAGCCAGGTATAGCGGCCGTACCCAGCGTTTGCTATCCAAACGCGTCAACGAACATTTACCTTCATGGTTTTATAAAGGAGAAAACCGATGCCCCGCAGCTCGATCCTTGAACATTTGATCGACTCTGGACACCAAGTCAAACCAGAAATAAACTTCAAAGTTATCTACAGAATACAAGGCAATCTTGCTAAAAGTGTACGGATCAAACTTCTCCACGTTGCAGAAGCAATGGCAATTCATCTGCTAAATCCTGAACTCTGCATACTAAAGAAATTTGTTCATTCATTAAATCTACAATGGACGTAATCTTTCTTAATTTCATTCTTACTAATTGTATTATTTTGTCTTTTGCATTTTATTATTTCACATCTTCATTTATATTATTCTCTACCCTACCCTCATTAACAATGTTGCTAACTTGACCCACGTCCGATTTCTAGTCAACTATGTTACGTCATCCGATTTACTTACTTATTTTCAACTGCATTATTCTCTAATCCCACCCTTATTTAATTTTAACCATCACTCATTAACACTGTTGCCAACCTGACCTACTCTGAATTCTACTCAATTGTATTACGTCATCAAGTTGACTTAATCGGTTATATTTTATTTCTATCTTAACGTTTGTCTCCAAGCCAACTAATGCTTACATTACATAATTATCTAAACTTTATAAATCTAATGTACACACACACAAACAAAATTGTATATATATGCGATTGTACAGCTCAGTGAATGAATTCGCCGAGAAGAGTCTCTTCGCTGAACGCTTTTGTTTTTTTTTATTTGTAGTTATTGAAATATAGTTGGATCCATCGCGTTTGTGACTATATTCTCACAATGCGTAGCAGGCTGCTATTTAATAACCTGCTGTATAACAAAGGGTTCGAGTAACATTGCCAAACTGAAGCAACGAAGGATATTATACACTACAGCACTTATGTCTCATCTAGAGCAAATAAGGCGCCCTTTATATCACTACAGTTTGTCCATGGTACACTTATTATATGTCGAAAGAAATATTCACTAATTGTATTTTTATTGTTAGGTGATTACCAGTGTCACTTTATCTGAAATAATATCTGCCGAGTTTAGTCAGCTAATCACTCGCCTATAAGCTCAACTATTATTTCGATTAGGTTACATATACCTTTGCTCTGCATATGTGCAGAAGACAATAATCGGAGGATGCTACAGAACGTGAAAGCAAATCAACCGATACTATGTTCACAAACTAGAGAAAAGACGTCAGTCATCACTACAACCTGACGATCTACAGAGTATTTAAACTCTGAAATTCCAAAGCTTGAATGGATGAACGTAATCACAAGCGGTGAAGAGAGTGAAATCTCCAATGACAATTCCTCATAAGGTTTCTACCAACAACAATAACAACTTACGTCTATCGAATATGCCACTAAAACAAGGAAAAGAGTGAAGTTAGAAACGGTATCAGGTGCTGCAAATTCATTATAAACTACAACAAATTATCAGTGAAAGTAGAGCATACCATTTACAGGTGGTTAATCACTTCTGTGGTGTAACGGTTAGGACGCTCGCCGACCATGCACATGGTCTAGGGTTCGATCCCCGGCCGACGCACTTCTGTACCTCGCTAAACCAGAAATAATTCTGGTAAAGAGGAAAGGTTGGCCGTGAGGCTAGCAACCCCATCCTGTAAATAAACACTGCTACAGAAACTTCAAGCCACCAGCTTGAAGTCCTATGTTGCACTGGGGAACGAGAAGGAAAAATTATTATTTATTATTTATTAGGAACCAGTTTCCAGTTGAAACTGTATGCCACTTTTAGTTTACATGAATAACGAAAGTGTCTGTTTCAGAGGTATCGAATGTGTGCAATCACCTATTTTCGAAGGGTCGTTTAAAAATCTTCAAATAACCCTATTGAAAGACCACAGATTTCACTTGGTATTACTGAAAAAATCTACAAGGAACTGTTGCTTGAAATAGTCATATACTTTGGAAGTTTGTCAGGCTTGCTAGATCATTTCAAACTTATTTGCTTATAATAAATATGTCTTGAGGTTGTTGTGGCAATTTCTCATTGGTATCACTGTGAAAATTGATGAGATTGTCTCATTTTATAAGGACATTATTCGACAAACCACATGAAAACTGCGGAGTGTCAGTCAAACTTAATGAAAACGAACTTGTGACATTTAAAAATGTTGGCTTTACGTAGTATGCAGTTACCTTGAATTACACGTTTGTTCACATACGTCTTTTGCAAAAAAGTTATTATCGTTTCCTCCATCTCCATAGTAGGTGAATGTCATACACTCTCCAATAGTCGCATTATAATAATACTTTTCCAGTGGGTGATTTCCAGAACCTTCATCTTCACGATAAAAGCAGATTTCTGAAATTAAATCAACCAAAATAAACTACTAAGTAAAAATTATCTAAAATTTATCAAAATAATTTTCCCCATAATTGAATTTTACTCTACCACATTACACAGGTTCTCTTCTTACAACCGAAGTTTTATTTAATAATAGTATATCACTGAAGTGAAACTTACTATTGAGCGATGACGAGCACTTGTGCAAAAGCAACATCAGCAAAACTAATCCGAACATATTATATTTCCAAATTTGTCAGTTATTTCTTTCTTATACACATATATATATATATATATATATATATATTTCTCATGTGAAAACAGACAGCATTTAGTATAGTTGTTGTAATTTAGTAGAATGGTGAAGTAGTGCTTTAATTCACGATAGATTTCAGACAACACTGTCACGTGTACTTGTATCCAAATGAAAGTATAAGCATCTACCATGTGTTTAATAAATTCACTCTCGACAGTGTGTCTCATTGGTGGTAAAATTACGTCATGATTTGGAAGTAGTGCAATTAGGTTTTAAATAATTCGCCTTCTCAGCATTTTTTTCAACGTCCGTTATTTATGCTACCTTGACAATGATTATCTATTTTGACTCTCTAAAAAAAATGTATTTTGATGGTGCTTTCCTCATTAGTGATAATAAATGTGGATTAAATGATGTACGACAAGATTTGAACAGTCATCACTCAACCATCAAAATCACTGTTGAAACAGAAACCTGAGAAACAATTCCGCTTTTAAGTTCAGACTAACAAAAATATCTAATAGGAAATTGAACGGAATAGTATGGAAAGGGACTTCGTGAAACGACCAGCTGACAAAAGTTTTAATTTGAGTGGTGACAATCCATAGTCCAAATCATGCTGGTAGCCATTTGACTATTACTACAAAACCTGCAATCTGACGTTAACAGATGAAGACATCCCACTTGTTGGGAAGAACCGAATTCAGAAAACTTGTCCACCGTGTTTTATTATTAAGCACATCAGAAACAAACACAAACAATCACATATCTCTGCTGAAGAGACTGTCACACATGATAGAGACACATATAACGAAGAAGTACTGGATGATACTTTCAAAAAAGATGCAGTCTGCACCAAAAACTGAAATTCTCCTGCTATCGATTATTCTCCACCAATTCTGAATATATAATTTTTTTGTTTTTGACCACTTCTATGTGCATCCACTGATTCACTTGTTTATGTACAGCACTCATGTAGCGTTTTTATCATCAAAATCTAAAGTTCACTATCTCACATAACTATGGTATGATCAATGGGTCAATGAGTAGTTTCACAGTTACACACATTTTAAGTTGGTTACTCAAAATTGATCTACTGTCACTTCGACAGTGCGTGCTTTGGTAGCTTTGAATTACTTGAGTATTAGGTAAACCACCTGCAAGTCATACAGAATTACCACTGAAAGAAACAGAAAACTGGTGAACTTTAACACTTCGAGGAAATCAGCAACATTCAATAGGATATAGATAGAGCGAAGCGTGGAAGAATATGGCCTGACCAGATACACAGCTCCAGAAGCACTGATAAAGGCTACACAGACCTCAGTATGTATCCTTATGCCAATAGTACAGAAAACTTAGAATTAAGGGAAGCCACAAACTGAGGGTAAGATAGTATACCTGATCAAACTTTTAAAGAATAGATGCTCTAATCCTCTATAAACCGTGTGCCAGAAAGATTATGATGGTCAACCATAGAAAAATGGAGGACCTGAACATCATGCGATGATTTTAGCCCCTTCAAATTTGACATGTGATGGGCAACCAAGACACTGATTCAGCCCAATTGTAGATTGACGGTCAGTAATTGACAGTGAACGAGTGAAATATTATCTCGTAATCAAACTGATCAACCAAGTCAATTATTCTATAACATACGACATTTTGCTACCTGTTATAAACACCTGTGCCATTTTAATTGTTAATATTACTCTAATAATTACTCCAGTCACAGGGTATTACTTTCGTAAACGTCCTTCTCTAAGAAGGTAACAAATATATAAATATATATATATTACTTCACCTCTGAAAAATATTTCATGATTTGGTTCATTCCAAATCCACTGGGAAGTGGGAGTTACAGCCGTGCTACTAACTTCACCACAAGTTCAATTTAGCGAATACTGAAATAACATATTAAAATGACATTATACAAAACAAGGAAATTCTCTCCAGGAAATTCAGTAAATACAAGAGTGGAAGAATATTCATTTAAAATTCCGCAACACCGAGGAAATCTATTTCTAAGACACCGGTTGTAATTGCATACAAGCAATAAGTTTCAGGTGTGAAAGCACAGAAACATTTCAAAACTGGATGTCGAACTCATTCCTTGTCACCTGTATTATATTCATATGTCCGTGACCAGGTTGAAACCACTTCAAGTCATAGATCATTGTAAGGGATTCAAATAATGGAACAACGTAACAAAAAGTACCAAGGTTTGCAATGTAAAATCATGAATCCTTGAAGGAGATTACAGTAATTTCGATGTGGTGAAACACACCTGATACCACGAATTTGGTGAAGAGAAGTTTCCATAACGATGGTCAATCCGAAGATGAAATATAAATGTCGTTAAGGCTGTAAACATGCCAGTGACAATAACAATTTCTGTAGTAGTATAAATAGATATAATGAGAGTCATGTCGATGATTAAAAACCTGGCTAGCACAGGTGGCAATATGACTAACGAATATACTATGAAAATGTAAGCAGTCTGTTTAATTATAACTGGTCAGCTGTGAAATCATAAACAGTAGTGATGAAATTGACCACGCACACACCACTTCTAACGGAGCCCAGTGAACAACATTCGACTCTCATTTTTCATTGGCCTCCCTTCCTTTAGTCCGTGATCTTCGCAGTATCTTCATAATTTCGGTGCACTTTTATGAAATGCTGACGGTGATATGCACTTCATCGCCTCTCAGGGAATTTTATGTCCACGTGAATCAGTGAATGAATCGCCTCCATTTTCACCGATGATTACTAATGATAGGCATTTGTCAAGTCCGCTCAACAGCAGTCTTGTTTAGAATGTATGTTCATTTATTTCAGTAGCGAGAATATTTCCATAGAATCCACAAGTCTGAATATGCGATACTATATGGTGATGTGTGTTGAAAGAGTTCATTTATTTCTCAACATGTTCGCCACGGAAACATAGAAGGCCACTGAAATCAACTCACAACAATAATCCTTTTCAAATTGACTACACGGGTTGCACGATACGACAGTGTGTTCGTAAGTGTTGCTTGTGGTTCATTACCTAAACTTCCTGATCTATTAGACTCCAATGTTGCCTCTGGCAGTGAAACCGATGAGCGCATTTTGCAGCTAACAAATGAAAATCTCAAAAACTGCACTGCATGTAACAAATTCGTGTACACGTTTCAATCAGTTGAACAAACTATTACGACTTATTTGGTTTTGCGATGCCTCTTCGCGAATTATCGACAGAAAAATTTGGTTATCTAAATGTCTTATGAACCAAATAAACCCACCGCGTCTAATTTCCAGCATAGGTTGGAATCAGCATTAACTCCGTATGATGACGTCATTTTCGAATTTAACGTCACCTCCTTAATATCATGCCTTCTCATCACATTTGTTTTTTGACCTCAATAAATTCTGACCGATGTAAAGCGATATTCCAGAAGCTCCATCAGATTCAGTATGTTTAAAGTATCATCTGCTTACCCAAAACATTCAAAATGCATCTGCTAGCAGTCACGGAGTAGAGGATTGGGATTTATTTGGACCTTTTGAGTCAGCAGTGTAATTAATTTGAAACGATACTTTCACGATTTGTTATCTGTTTCAGTGGCCCGGCAGTCCAGATTGATATTCTGAGTAAGCTCGTGAAAGCGGTAGTCATCTTGTGGACGATGAAGCACTCGACGGATGCAGATGATTTGGTAACACAGTTGTATGGGCAGTAAATCCTCCAAGTCACAATCGTAGCACTCGTTATCGAAAACCGAACTACAATCAAATCACGCATCACACTAAGTTTATTTCGAGATGGGTGCTGTTTTATTGTAGATCATGAGAAAACAACGAGATACTAACGAAAAAATGCGAGTTTGACACGATGGTTTGGTCACTTGACCGATCATATTAAGTTTACTCAGTCGAATGCCGAATACTAAATGTCGCTGAAGGTTGACGGCTGCCGATTCTAGGAGGTCACTTATCGCCACTTGTCTGATAAAACAGATCCAGAGAAAGCCTGTCAGTGAACGAAGTGGCAGTTTGATACTTCCAAAGCTTCCAAATAGCACAATCTTGGTGTCAGTAGAAAGTAGCATTTCACAGTCTATTTATTCGTGTAAACACAATCACATATTAGATACATTGTCCATTGTTTTTCATCGTTATTTCTCTCTGAAAACTCCTCACCCTGCAACTATTCACCGATATTCCGTTACTCCTGAAGTTCGTTGCTGGCATAATACGAGCAGTGACTCCACGAAATTTGTCAGCATCACTGGTCGGCAGGAGATAGGAAACCTTTATTTATTATACGCACAAAGGTCTACAGAGTTTGAGATTTTCATTTGTTAGCTGAGTAATCCGCTCACCAGTTCCACCAGGCGAGGTAATGCTGGAGTCTTAAACATGATGAATAATGAGTAAAGAATGACATGCAACAAATACGGACAAACGGTCGTATCGTAAACTCATTTAGTCACTTAGTGAAGGGTTAGTGTTTTGTGTGGGTGTCAGTAACCTTCAATGATTTGGAGGCAAACATGAGGAGAACCGTTGAGTTGTCAGTAAACAATGACTGAAATTATGTATTAATTGAGAGAACATGATTCTCAGTATCTCTTTTTATACCATTACCGAAGTCGTTACTGTTACTGGCATGTTTACTGCCTTAACGACATTTATATTTCATCTTCGGATTGACCATCGTTATGGAAACTCCTCTTCACTAAATTTCGTGTATAACAGAGTAGAGCGAGAATCAGGTAGGCGCTTGAATGCAAAACTTCAAATCACAACGAAAGTGACCACGAGGACTCGAAGCATTTGAGGTAGACTGAAAATTAAATAAATCTTGATGAAACAAAGGCTTGATTGACCTCGTGGACCTAGAATCTGCATATAATCCAGTATATCAAAACACGTATAATAATGTGTACAGTCATCAAGATAAATGACATATTTGTTGATGGTGTATGGAAATTTCTCAAAAAAGAATTCACG